CCCCCCCCCCCCCCGCTCGCTCTCGCCCTCGACCGTCCTCGCCCCTAGCGCTTCACACACCGGCGCGACTGGAATCAGCTCCCAGACGCACATACACATACACACACACACATGCGGCGCACGGTCAATCGCGTCCGGCCGCTCAAGGGCACGGCCTCCACCACCACGCCCGTCGGCCTGGTCGCCCGAAGTATTGGCGGCCCCGGGGGCCAGGGCGGCGGCGCCTTGGCCGTCCCGGCTGCCGAGGGGGACTCCTCCTCCGGCGGGTCAGGGTTCACCTCCGCCAGCGAGGGGCCCCCCGAAGAGGTGCCCGACCCCCTGGAGCGGGAGGACTCGCGCGTCCTGGACATCCTCCTGCCACCCGGGTCGCCGGTGGACCGGCCGCACATGCACCTGTCCCCGAGCTCGGAGCTGTTCGGCTCGCCGGGATCCATTCCTCTGGATGAGTCGGACCTCCCGGATGCCGAGCCGGAGCCCCTGTCCAGCATGTTCTCCTCCTCGGGGCGCTGTCTGCGGCCGATCCGGTTTTTCATCCAGAAGTCACTGGACTCGGATGAGTCCTTCATCATTGATGAAGATCCGCGCATCTCCTCCAGCGCCTCTTCCAGCCTGCGTCTGATCGGCGGAAGCAGCAGTGGCAGCGGTAGCGGGGCCTCCAGCGACGATGAAGGCCCCGGGGATGAGGATGGCGGCAGCCTGTCGGACCCCGGCCCCGCAAGGTCCCCCTCGCAAGCTTCCCTGTCGAGCTCCTCGGATATCATGGACCATGTGTGTGTGTCTCGCGCCTGTTGCCGGCTCTCTGCCCCCCCCCTCCCCCTACTCACTCACCCGAGCGCCTGTCCCTCTTCCTCCTCTCTCGGATCCGGTCCCGACCCATGCTCCGGGTCCGGCCAGATCTACATCCGTCCGATGGAAATGCGCGACATTGCGGCCTGCTTCCATCTGGGCAACCGGGTATTCACACGCAATCGCCCAAACCTCTACCGGTGCGCTCGTGCTCCTTTAATGGTGTCGGCATTTCCGGCAAAGAAAATCCCCCCCCCTCCCCTTGCCTCCCCTGCACATGACTCTTACCCATGCACCAACACCTGGGGCACATGCCCCGGTCGCCTGTCGCGCGTGCACACACCCAGGCTATGGGATGAATATGAGGTGATTGGCTCCTTCAGCGGCGACACGGAACTCTGCTACATCGCGGAGATTGACGTCGAGCAGGGGGCCAGCATGGATACATCCTCCCTTGAGCCGGGTACCCGTGCGATGGCCAAGAAAAAGCTCGTCGGCTTTGCCTTCGGCAATATCCTTCTGAAGAAGAATCACATCAAATACGGCTACTTGCACTGGTACGCGCTGTGGGGATGCTCGTTGGGGCTTCTTTCCGCGCGCGCGCGCGCCTTCTCCTTTCCCCCATCTCACCCCTTTGTCCGGTCCGGTCCGGTCCGGTCCCCTGTTCGCCTTTTCACCCGCGCGCCGTCTGCCTGGCTGAAGGATTGCCGTGGACCCGGAGCACCAGCAGCGTGGCATCGGGTCGCGTCTGTTCGAGCGTGCCCTGGAGCCGATGCTTGAGGAGGGCGTGTCGCTGGTGCTGTGCGACACGCCGGACAACAACCTTGCTGCCATTCAGTTCTTCCGGGTACGCATCGCCGTCTCTTTTTCCTGCGCCCCCCCCCCCCTCCCCCTCGTGCGCCCCACTCCCGCTGCTCGTCCTGATGTGTGTCTCCCCACCCACCCACTCCGCTCCTGTTGCCTGGTAGAAACTCGGCTTCACCGATCCCATCAAGCACGTCTTCATGTCACGCCACATTTGCGATCAGGAGGACTGCCAACATTACCGCCGCACTCCCAGCTCCGCCACATCATCGCCGGTATGTCTCCTGCACCGCCTTTTTCTCTTTTTTTTTCTCTCTCCCCCTCCCCCCCCCCTCGGTCCTCCCCACCTGGAATCCATGCCCTGGGCTCCTCTGCTCCTTCATTCACACTGCCTGCTCTCCGATCGCGAGCAGGAATCTTCAAATCCACCCTCCCAGACGGGCAGCGCCAACAGCAGCCAGGGAGCATTGTCCCCTCGGCGGCCGCCAGCGCCCCGCATCTGTCCCAGCCCCAGCCTCGCGTCTGTCAAGACCTCGGCCGCCGGCCTGATCGTTCGGGAGATGACCATCGACGATCTGTATGGCGTCTATCTCCTGGGTGAGGAGGTGTTCGGTTTGAGCGCCTCGCCGAACATGTTCCGCTTTTGGACCGAGTCCGAGGTTCTGGACCTCTTCGAGACGGACTCGGACTTCTGCTTCGTGGCCGAGCTCCATGGGGAAATCATCGGCTTCTGCCTGGGGACCACCATTCAAAAGTCGCGTAGCTCCTGGAAATATGGCTACCTGATGTGCGTTCCTGCATGCTCTCGAGGCAGGGCCCAGGCGGGGGGCGGGAATCCGGAAGCCGAGACACGCCGAAAGGCGTGCCAAAGACCCCGACCAGGGCCGGGCCCACGGGCGACGGGCGGGAGCGGCGAGGGGCGAGCAGGGGGGGGGGGGGGGGACACAATACAGTGCCGTCCTTTCAAGGCCTTGGACTGACCCGAAGTGTGCTTTGGCCGATTAGCTGGCTCGGCGTGTCGTCCAAGGCTCGCGGCCTCGGCGTGGGGAAGATCCTGGCCGGCCGGTTCGAGCAGTCGGTGCTAAATGACGGGGCCCTGATTATGCTGATTGACACGCAGTCCGATGCGCCGGCCGTGAACTTCTGGCGCAAGCTCAACTTCGGCTCCGAGCAGAATCACGTCTTCATGTCGATGCGCATCTCCGACTCTCGCTCCCCCACTCTGCCGGGCACGGGGCCTGCCGGCGCTGATCCTTCTGGCTCGACCCCCTCGCCGCGCATGTTCTTCTCGACCTAGACATCGAACATGGTCTCGGCCCTCCCTACTCCACCGAGTATGGGGCCGGGATACATCTGAGAAGAAGGCGCGAATGGCCCCTCGGCCGAGGCCCGTGCGAATGTGCCTGCCTGCCCCTTGTCGGGCTGCACGCACACACACACACAACGAGTCACGCTTCTCTTGGTCGCGGAACTTGGTCCGCTCTCCACATCCGCCTGCAATATATGTTTGGATTTACATGCGCCTCCCGGCGCCCCGGCCCTCCTCCCCTCGCCTCGGTTCCTCTTTTTGCCTGGACCAAGCCTTGCCCCCAGCCATCCCACCTCCTCCCGCACTCCGCTCCCTCCTCCCCCCCCCCCCCTTCCACGTCCACACTCCCCTTGCAGCAAGTTGATGTTGGGCTGTATGAGTCACTCGATTCTTCGTGCTCACCTGTAGTTTCCTCTGCTGGTACATGGGCATCGAGGGGCGCAGGACAGGGCATCTGCTCGCGGTGAGAGAGAGGGGGCGGGATCGGGGGGAGGGGGGGGGGGCGACGGCGCGCGGATGAGGGAGATAGCGCTGAATGAACTGCCCCCGCCCCCCCCCCCTCCCTCTGAACCTGTCGTGCAGGAGGGTGCCGGCCTCGGTCTGTGGCACCTGGCCACATGGCAGCCGCGCTGCCCCCGCACCGCCCTCAAAGCAGGGGGAATATGTCAGCGCACGAGTCGGAAGGTGTGGCGACAAAGGTGTCGCGGCTCTTGCTGGATGCCGCTAGGTGGTCGCTGCCCAGGCCAAGCTCGCTGCCACCGAAGAGGATGCTGCTGTCGGTGCTGTGCACTGTGGCCAGCCCGGTTCCCGTGCCGAAGACACCCTCCTGGTCTGGGGCCAGCGGGCCTGCGGTCCCGGTCGTCCCGGCGGCTGACACCCCCAGCATCGGGTGCTTCTTGCCCGCGATGTTGGTGACGCACGATGCCGAGGCCCCGGTGTCGCCCGCGATCATGTCAGCACGATGGACCGAGTCGACAGGCTCTTGTCCACCGAAACTCTCTCTGGAGGAGGCGAAATCAGGATCGAGAGGATTCCCCGAGTCCGCCGTCGTTGTTGCTGCTGCTGCTGCTGTTGCTGCTGCTGCTGCCACCGCGTCTGATGATGAAGATGATGATGATGATGATGATGATGGTAATTCTGCTGTTGTTGTTGCTGTTGAGGCGATCGTCGTGGCCGTCGTCTCGGGGTCGACCGTAAAGAGGGGCATATCGGAGCTGGATGTCAGCAGGCACGCCTCCCGGAGAGAGTCCCCATCTCTTGAAGGCGAGCCAAGTTCGATGCCCGGCCTTGAGGCCAGGCTTTCGTCTTCCGACAGGCTGGCGCCCAGTGGGGCACTTTGTGCCATGAACGGGTAAGGGGGATACTGGTGGAAGGATTGCAATGTTTGGGACTGCCCGTGCGCCAGCTCCTGGTAGGCATGATGCATGAAGAGCCCGGGCGTGGAGGTCGGCGTGTCGGCCATCGCCGCGCCCCCCGCCTGGGATGCCTGCTCCATTCCCAGGAGCTCCGGCAGTTCGGCTCCCCCGACCAGCAAGCCCAGCGACATGTCTGAAGCGTCGCCGGCCCCGACTGACGGGGCGCCTCCCGGCCCGGAGCCGGAAAAGGCCCCTGACTGCGAGGTGGTTGCTCGCTCGCCTGGCGAGGCACCGGCCATGAGCGGATGGTGGAAGAGGCCTCCCAGCGGGTCGATCGACAAGGCCGGCAATCCCGACGCCAGCTGCTCACAGGAGGCCCCCCCCGCAAGAACCCCGCCACTCGCATCGCTCCCGAGAAGGGCGAAGGGCGTGTCGAGGGGAGCCGCCATCCCGGTTACTGGGGCCAGCGATTGGGAAGCAAAGTGCCTGGAGGATAGGTCCTCCCGGGAAAACTCGTTGCAAGTATCGGTCGGGTCGTCGGTGTCCAGGATGGGCGCCTGCCAACACGGCGAGCCGGGCATATAGCGCCGTCAAAGTGCGGGAGGAGTGTTATTGTCTCGGGAGCATGGGGGGAGGGGAAACAGGAAAGGACTCGCTGGCCATCGTGGACACACCTGATGATGCGCATGCTGCTGCTGCTGCTGCTGGTGATGGCCGGCTTGGCGTTCATCAGGGCCCAAGTGTGTTGGATGCTGCTGGTAGTGGTGGTGGTGGTGGTGCTGCTGCTGCTGCTGCTGCTGCTGTTGCTCCGCTTGCGCCTGCTGCTGCTGCTGCTGCTGCTGGTGGTGGTGGTAGTGGTGGGGATGATGGTGGGGCTCCGGTTCTTCCTCGGGCCTCGATGATCCGGGGTGGGTGTCGGCGGTTCGCGGTCGCTTGGGCCACGGGCCGGCATCTTCGCCCGAGTGATGGTTTGCCTCGGGTTTGACAGCCTTCGGCTCGTCCATGGTGGGCGGAGGTCCCCCGTCATCGGTCGACGCTGCGGAGGAGGGAGCAGCGCTCTGGGCCGTGGTGGCGGTAGGGGCGGTGGTGTCCGCGGCGGCGGCGGCGGCGGCGGCGGCCGGGCTGGCCGTGGCCATGGCCTGGAAAGCCTCGAGGGGGATTTTCCTGGGCGCAAGAGCCATGCCCCAGGCACGGGGGGGGGG